GTCATGGCTTGGCCACCCCCTCCTCTTCTTCCATCCACACACCCGGCGCGCAAACAACGCACGTCGCGGGAGCCGATGGGCTGGCATACGCAACACGTGGCCGAGCCATCGGAGCCTGGTGGGTGAAATAACGGTGCTGAGCGGTTCATTTCCTTTTACTGTGCCATAAACGAGGTGGCGAACACGCTTGTTGCTAATTAGGTGTTCCCATCAGATGTGAGCTAAATTGCGAAGGCACCGGTGGTAGAAGGTAACTAGCCTCTTTAGGTCCGCTGATCTAAGGGGCCAAGTTTCACAGCCGTACAAACATCCGAAGCTGTGAGAACGGTAATGGAGAGTGTATGTGTACACATCTGTTCAAAGCCGTAGTGGACTTGTTTCAATTGAAGACTGCATTCCATTTAAGAGTTAGTGCAAGCGAACATATGTTTCAATACTTCCTCTTTAAGGTTGCACAATGAAATGCGATCACTGACCGTAAAGTGAACCCATTTAACCAATTCAGAGTGTGAGCAACAAATTTGTTTTTCGACACATAATTGCACAAGTTCGAAGATTATTAAAAACATATTCGGCTGCACTGACTTTTACTTATGCAATGGAATAGTTACTATCTATGCCTCGGGTCGATATCCAATCTTAAAAGGCGCATCAAGAAAAATAATCGGTAATAACTTGTGTACCAAGGCTCCCGTGTATATGCGAGTCTACGGGAAACTCCCGCTTGAATGCACCAGACGTCAAGGTCGTTCTGTCTGCCCGTGATCGAGATGATCATGAATGACTTTGCCCCTCTGTTGTAGTAGATTATGATCCTATAGGCGACCGACTATCACGTAGAGTAAGTGGAAAATATGGAATATATGGCTCCGGTACTCATCGAAGTGGCGAGTAGAATTGCGAGCTCCTACATGTGCTTGGATCTGCAAAGTTAAAGACGATGATATAGGACTGCGCCAACGCATCAGCAGTGTTCACGATTATTGAACAACCACACGAAGTAAGAAACAGGTTCATTTAACTAGGTGGCTACATAAACTCTGGCAGTCGCATCACCGCGGTTACCACAGGTTACCGCACGACCTTAAAAGTCTTAGTCACTTACGGAAGCCCTGGTATATATGGTTGGCGGCATCCGGTTTCGGATTTGCTTGTCACTGTGGCCAGCCACAGGACGCCTGCGCCTACAGAGGGACCATGGATGGCTTGGGCTGCTACTCCCACAGCTCCAACCACACACACCCCATATCCAGTGTTAACCCGAAGGAATAAGACCGAGAGCCATGTGGATGGGAGCCACGTTTCATCAACGGAGCCGGCCCACACTCCTTCACAGACAAACACAAGCACGTTGTATTTGGGGAATCATGTGCACACAAGGCGGTGGCTGGACCGCAGTCCGCTCCACAACGAGGGCGTGGAACCACTCTTCGAGCCTAACACGGCCACAATGACCGTGCGGCCCGTCCTCTCCAACAATGACCAACTGTCGCCTGGAGCAAGTATGCATGAAGTGGTGGGTAATAGACAGGTAGGCACCTTGTCAACATACACATCAAGCGCAGCCACACCGGGGATATCAAACAACAGCCAACCACTTGAAACGACAAGAAGAAATAAAATAAATCGAATCATGCATACAGCTACGGCGGCATAACTCTTCGCTAAATTAGCATATGAAGTAAGTTGGTTAGCAAAGAATCCGCGATAAGTACAAAACGTCCACAAGTGATTCAAAAAAATGCCACAAACGAGAAAAACTGATGAAGATTAGCGCAATTAGCGTGTGCAAATAAATAGAAGATTAGTCAGATAGGCAGAACAAACCAAATAAAGTGGAATGAAATTTAGCCAGCTTAAAAAGACCTAGTTTAATTGTAAGTTGGTTTAACCCAAGTGCGGAGAAGAAGCATCATGAATGCAATATCAGCCTCAGCATGGGGCATATATACATAGCAAGTGGAATAAAAAAAGAAAAAAAACACGGCAACACGAAACAAAACAAAACGCTTTGTTATTCACTGTGCATTTACAATGGGATCGCTGTTGGAGAAGACAGCTAAGCGAGGCGGGGCAGGATAAAGAGACTCACAACACAGACACCATGGACATCGGTTCTTCGCACAATGTTAAAATGTGCATGCAACTAAGCGTGGTTACTTTCATGGCCAAACGACAAGATGGTCAAGAGAAATGGATGCATTTAGTTTGAAGTTGGCTTCGGTTGGAGCTTGTGGGATCCCAAGTTGGGACCCGAAAAACGATGGACACGTTCGGCTGGATACACTTGTTGACATGACTAGGAGCCGACCTCAGTGGTGTTTGTGTTGTGAGTTTCTTTGTCCCTACCATTTAGCCACCCACTATAATCACGAGCCCATTGCTGACGCATAACATAACATTTTTGTGGGAAAATAGCCGGCTGCTAGCTCTCCGGAACGGCATATCTCGGTTACCGGTGGCTCAGTTGGCGTGCCTTTCTTCCATTCCCATGTATTGCGGCACAATAGCTGTTTCCAACCCCTAGCTAGCGTGTATACTGAATATGGTGTTTATCGTCTTTCGGACCCCAACCAGGGTATGGAAAGGCTCCAACCAACGCCAACATATAAGAGAGGATTTTCCTTCCTCTTGGCTAAGTAATCGGGTGACTTTCCATCCACACCCTGGCAGCGCAAATGTCGTTGGAATCAGCGCGGTCACCTGTAGGTAGGGGATTCAGTAGTTCCAGTCGATTAAATTGCTTTACAAAGTACTAGGCTGAACACTTCAAGCATTTTGAGAGGTTGTGAATAGCCAGTTCACTGTTATCACCCGTAGCCTCGCTAACGACAGGTATCTGCTGCCCGTTTCCTGTATCAAACGGAATAACTTATGAAGGCTATCAGCCGCAAATGCTGCTTCCATCTTCGGGGCATGATGCGACCACCAGGCTTCGCGGTATCTCTTCACGCTAGCACTTAAGTGTGCCTTGAATATTTCCGAGTGTCGTCAAGTTAACTTCAAGGCGCAATGTATCGGCGAGCATCCAGAGGTCCCAGAGACGGTGTAGAGAATCAATGTCCCGGTTAAGAATAAGTTATACCAAGTAAATAGATACCTGCTGCTAATAAGGTCTGGCGAACATGCACACAATAGCCTTCAACTGCGTTCAATGAGCTGGAGTACCTTGATACGCATTAACATCTGGCTTCACTAGATGGCAGGTATTTACGCATTCAAGGAGACGTTGCAGACGTCTACTGAGACGTACTTGCAAATCGGCACAAACAGGTATGCGATCGGAGTACACGCAGGTGCGCCAAATCGAGCGACAGTTTTGGACGTAACCTCTCCGACAGCAGCTGATCACCTACTGACTAGCGGAAGAGCCGTGATGCGGACGGTGCTACTGTGTATCTTAGGGACCTAGCCGCCATCTGCTGGGGCACTAATCGGATTTGACCGCCGAAGTACTGTCCAGTTGGTGGGGGAACCGAGTAGGTGATATTGGGGTTCGAAATAAGTGATATGGAAGTTCATCAGCGAGTGCATGACACAGAATTGCTCGAGACTTCACTCGAGTACTCGTCGAACCGGAGTCGCCTGCGTTGGCTCAGTCATGCTCCGTATGCCCTCAAGTTGAGTGTGGTGGAGTGTATGTGTCAAATATTATTCGTGGCAAGATGCACGGAACAGAATGCGCGGCTGAGGCCTGTAACCGTTTGATAGAAGCCGAAATGCAGAGCCAATGAGACAAGCAAAGTAAAGCAGTTGTGTGTGTTAGCCAGGAATGTGAGCACCTACGTTCATGATGGATAACCCACTGGTGCTCGTGACATCATTAGATGCCAGTACCGTACCCACTTGGATGAAGCCTCGAGGTCATCGATGACATGACAAAAGGGCATGGACAATCTTACGTAAGGGCTGAATCGAGTTTGTGCTTGTCGCCTTCCAGAACGTGGACTTCGAGGTCGGGTACAAAAGCGAGTAGATAGATTTTTGAATTTGCCAAAGCCACAAAGTCAGCGGTGCTCTCGTACTCGATATCCTACATAGGAAGTTTTATTTTATCGCTGATTCCTTCACAAGATAAGTAGTACTACTATTATTTCGGTGATGTAAGCCCCGGTAACGTGAACCACTGCATCCTGGCGCACAGAGCATAGGGGACAAATCGAACTATGCTGAAATCAAGCACACCTGATTTCGTGACCGTCTGGAGGTGCATCCTTCTAGGCGGTTGAAGAACTACCTACTGTTCAGAAAGACATCTGTTGTCGGGGTACAGGATATGCGTCCAGATGCAGTGGAACTTTGTGATCTAGAACTCCTGATCTTCCACTCTTCCAAGAGGAGTGATCTGAATGGGGGTCCACGCCGGTCACCGTGAGTCACTCGAACACCACCACTGCTATCATCACCACAGTGTTGCAAATGAATGATTAATTTACCCCCACCGCTAACCTACTACAAGTAAGCGTTGCGCAAGTGTGTGCGAACACACTCAACGCACTGTAAAGTAAACGGATGTATTTAATAGCAGTGATCATTTAGAGTGCGTATGGCGTAATACGAAAGAGCACTCAATCCAATCTAGTGTTGAACCAGTGGTGCAACCGAATAGGATATAGTCACTGTTGACGTCGAGGCGCAATGCACAGCAAGAGTTTAAATAGGTCTTGCGTAAAATACTACCTGAAGAGGGCAAAGTCTCACGTTGGCGCATCAGACACGCATATAAACATATTCACGTGCAAAAGGAGTGCATCTCCAACCTTGTGGATATCAACGTGCGACAATAGCTAATCCGCAGACTGCTCGAAGCAGCGGATGAATTCATGCAGAAAGGCTACGTACCAACTGTTATGTCAATGTGTGCCAGAAGCGAATTGAAGCCAATAACGCAAGAAGAGGTATCAACCGTACACCGGTATGTTATACCAAAGCTTTGCTGTTATGCGACACAAGGAAAGGGTGAGATTCAATGAGCGCGAGTAGGTGGGGAAAGAACTCACTTCGATGGGGAGAACATCGGCGTAGATGCAAATGAACCACTTGGCGCATAACATGGTAAAATTGGCACCAGATTTTTCAATCATCTCATAAACCGCACGGTCTTTGCTTCTGTGAACGGAAGTAGTTGGAGATAAGGAAGGCATGGTTGCGTTTTAGGTAGGTGCAAAAAGACACAGGCGAAATTGACGAGCGGAACAGTAAGGATAGCAACCGGAATGAGGAAGACGCGCAAGAAATCAAGTAGATCGAGTCACCAGGAAGCTAATAAGGCAGTGAGGTGTGTGGGCGCGACCCCAACACAGTTAAAGAGACAGTTGCGGGAAGAAGGTTTCGGTGAACAGAAACTAACACAATCAGAGTGAACAATCCGCGCCCATGAGTGAAAATTAACTATCATAAAGCTTAGAACTGAGCTGAAATGGCATCAAGTTAACTTCCTGTTGGACTAGACGAGGCACTTTGGCTTGGTACATCAGAAATCAACTCGGGAAAAAATCAGGCACAATCCCAGTGACGGCAATGAAAACGCAAGTACTCTTCATCTTGGAAGTAATCCGTAATTAGTGACTAGGGCGTTGAACTGATCATTATGAGGATATTGTTGGGCTTCAGACTTCATCACCGCGGCAGGTAAGGATCACCCGACATCAGCCCTCACATGGATCTTGCAAATGAACTGACTAGGGAAAGCTAGTACCAGTAGCTTCACCCGGCTGATCGATTGGGGCTAAACGGACGACAGTAGTTCCACAAGGCATAAATTAGTTGATATGCAGGCTAGAGAGACTTCGGAGATGTCCGCTCCCAACACTGCGCTCCACCATCACGAAGCTACTGAGAGATGCGAGCAAAGCTTGACACAGCGGTTAAGAGTTCCATACATCGCTTTCGCAGTACCTGCGGTGCATCTGGATTGCGACATGCAAACGATGTAGGGACTTTAAATTTATCAAACACCGGAGTTCTGTGTTGGAAGTAAGAAAATCCGAAATCTCTCAACTAGGGACACGGTCGCAGTGATCGGAATGAAGGGAGTCAATTTCAAAGTGAACCAAGGTCCCAACAGAGACTGCGTGTCGCAATACAACCTGAGCCGCCTCTGGTGGTCACATTACTAAAGAGGTTACTTCGTGTATTAGCAAGGCCCGTGTGGCTTTCCAGGCTCCATCATCTATGGAGACGGCAGGAGATCAGCTTCAGTGTGAGGTAGGGTGTATAACGCTGCGGTAAGACCGGTCTTACTGTATGCATCAGAAACCTGGCCAGGTCGCAGGGAAGATATTAAACGCTTGGCAGTGTTTGACCACCATTGTTTGCGGAGTATTGCTCACGTTTGGTGGGGACACTGAGGTCAGCCAGTTGGCTTTTGGCAATAAGCCTTCTGGTGCCTCTCTGGAGTGCTTGATAAATCTTAGTCGCTTGCGCTGGCTAGGCCGACCTCCGTTTGTCCGTTTATCAGTTTTCTCGGCGCGCATTATACGCCGTGGCTGCATCAAGTTGGGCGAAACCGCGAGGTGGCCAGTCCATGACGTGGCATATGGACATGAAGAAATTGACTGAGATTTGGTCACGCTGGTGCGTGCCGTCTTCTTGAATGAAGACTTCGGGACAGTCCACACCAATGGTTGGAGACCCTGTCAGTCATGGCGCAGTCACGAAATCAGTGGCGTTCCTGTATTCGGTTTCTTGTATCTGATTGTTAATTTTGATACCATTCTGATTAGTCTAACGCACTTCCTCCTTACTTCACTTTCTCCACATTCTATATTCACACAACCCCACTAACCTACAGATGTTATGGTTATTCTTACGGTGTGAGTCGTGGTAAGTGGATTCCCCTCATTTCGGTGCACGGATCATAGTTGATCAACTGAACTGGACTGAACATGGAGACAATCAAATACTCAGCAGTGCACATGAAAGCATCCCTAAGAGAATAAGATAGATCTCTGAAAATTCATATACCTAATGAAAAAGTAGTTCGAAGCAAGTGACCAGTTTGTCATTTTTAGGAGTGCAACATCGGAAAGGTCACTGAACACATTAGAATAACCAGCCAGAGTCTGAGTTCAGTTCCGTTTGATTGCCCACATATGATTTGAGCACCTAAGTGCGGCGAATCCAACCGACATGGCAACAAAAAGCAACGACGGTGAGTGTAACATGAAAAGAAGAATAGCAGAAATTGTCCGATAGCATGATGCGAAAGACCGTGTGACATGGCGCAGATTCATCAGCCATTGATGCAGTTCACAAAGTGGACCCTACCCAGATGGTTAGTAAACATGAGTCCATCAGTCAATACTCCTTCGTCATGCCATTGGCTCATCATCATCATCATCATCGTCGTCGTCGTCGTCATCATCATCAGCATCATTATACATCTGTAACAGCATTGTTGGAGGTTACAAAGCGCGCGGAAGCAAATATGTCACCTTCCATTTCAGGACGCTTCTCCAGACAACGTGGTCGCGAACGCCAACCGTGCAAGGAAGAGCGCAAAGACGCCTAACGTTTTTGTTCTCATCATCCGACCTGTGCCGCGCGTCACCATCTTGACTACGTATAAGGCGAACTTCTTCGAGTCCGCAGCCGGATGTGGCCTTCTGCTTGTTAACCACCGCATTTCTGCACATCTTTTGCCGCTTGCCGCGGTTATACCAAGCATATAGTTTCCATAGTTCGTGGTACTTATCTCTGCATTGGAGAGCGTCTGACAGGGCTGTTGTAGTCCAGGTCGTGCGTGCCCGGTAGTTGATTTGAAAGACTTCTGAAAAACCATTACACACCTTAGCTAGAGGTAAAGGATGCCACAGCTACCGTGCAGCAATGCAGAAGAAAAAAAGCATACAACAGGTGCACGCCAGCTGAGCTACCAGTAACGGATGGGCATCCTTCTGGCAAGCTGCAAGCCGGCTAGTATGCAGCAAAAAACTTTTATTAGGCAAATCCGTATTATGCTAAGAAATGCGATCGTGATTGGAGGGGGCTAAGAGGAATGGGGAGGAACAAAGAAACTCACAACACAAACGCCACTAAGGTCGCTTCCTAGTCATGTCAGCAAATGTATTCAACCCAAAGTATTCATCGTCTTTCAGACTCCAAACACGGAGCCGAGAAGCACCAAGCGAGACCAACGTCGAAGTAAGGGCCTTCATTGCTCTCGACTGAGTCATCGCTTGGTCACTCCTCCTCTCCTTCCATCCACACCCCCGGCGCACAAACAACGCACGTCGCGGGAGTCAGTGGGCTGGCATGCGCGACACGTGGCCGAGCTATCGGAGCTTGGTGCGTGAAATAACGGTGCTGAGCGATTCATTTCCTTTCTTGTGCCATAAATAAGGCGCTCAGAATAGCTGGTTTCGCCAGTTGGCTGGCGTTAATGTGCTCACAGGGTCGTAGTGGGCGTACGTCAAAACGCACCCGCATATCAGCACATACAAGTGACTGGGCAGTGTCTACACATGTGCTCCAAATCGAGCGACAGTTCTGGACGCAGCCTTCCCAGCGGAAACTGATCGCAATGTTCCGCTTGCGTCCAAGGTTGATGAGCGTCATGTCACCCTCCGGCGGGTGCTGTGTTGGAAGTTAGTGCTCGCAAGAAATAAGCGGGCATCTTCACACAAATGAAGTAATCGCTCACCGTTATCATTACAGGAGCCTACACCATGTTGACCACCCAGATGCAGTTCAGATCCCCAGCCATCACTATAGTGTCCGTGCTTCTTCTGTTGCGAAAGAGCGCGTCCAGTTGTCGACAGAAGTCGGCTTTTACCGAATCATCGCTAGAGTTTGTGAGCGCGTAGGCAACGATGACGAATTGACACCTATAAGTCCCGAGCGATTTCAAAACTTTGAACGAGCCAGTCAATCGCACCGCATACCTTCGGTAACTGATTGGGATCTAATCAACCAAGCAGCTTCAACCCGGGGACTCAGGGAAATACCAACACCGACTTGGTTGGCACTCGCAGCTGCATAGTCCCCGGATAAGCGCAATGAGAAAGCCTTGCTAGTGTCACCTGAAGAGGATCGTAAAGCTAGCACAGAACACGAGTCTCGCAGGCGGGTCTCCGATAAGCAGTAGATATCAATCGAGAGAGTACCTAATGTAAAGGCAAGTGCTGCCCGTCGATTGATCAATAGCAATGTGCGTACATTGAGGCATGCCAATCTGAAAGAGGATAGAGGGCTCCAAATAGAAGCCGATGAACTGGGGTGGACCGCTTGGTTGGACATGGGCTTGTCGACAGGACAAGAGTGACGCTCGCGTTTGCATGTGAGTTGAAACTGGAAGGTAAACGCCTATCAAAGTAAGGTGGAAGAGGGACAAGAAATGGGGGATTTGAAACAGGGGGACAAAAGTGTAGTTGGAACGGAACCATAAGGGTGAAAAAACGTAAGAGGGGGAATAAGAAGACGGGAAGGCTTTAGCAGCAACTTCCAAACCATTATCCACCCTGCTCGATGCAGCAGATAGAGCGCCGTTGATTATCCTCTGAAACTGATTGAGGAAAGATTGATAGTCTTGCGTGGGCAGGGTATTGTTAGGTTGCCCACGGCCTAGACAGGAGAACGATTAGGGTTCTCAACCAAAGCCTTTTGTTCAAAAACCTGACCGCAATGCAGCGGGTTTGGCGTTGGGCTACAAGGAGTCCGTTATGAGGAATAAGGAGCAACCCTCACTATAATCCCAAACCTGGAAGACCAGTAGTTTTTCTGGCCTCCAACTATTGACCAATCTGGTATGAGTGGCTCTGAAGGTGCGAAAGCAACACCCAGCATATCTCAACGGATTTCTGAGGCACTCAGACCAGCGCAATACGGTAAGGTCCAGCCTCATTGCGATGGAGACCATTGGTTAGTCACGCTAAAATCTCAGAGCATGCGAAGTGGCGGATCGGTTCACTTACCTTGGTAGCTGAGTCACACCTGGTGGTTACATCACCTAAGAAGTTAATCAACGTATCAGCAAGGTCCGTGTGGCCTTCCAGAGGTTCAAGCGTGTATGGAGACGGCGGTATACCAGCCAGTCAGTGAAAAGTATGGTGTATAACGCTGTAATAAGGTAGGTGTCACTGCACGGACAGAGACCTGGACAGTGAGAA